TGAAGTTAAGAAGGCCTACCCCAAGAATGCAGCAACCTTTTACTTGATCGTCATGACAGCAACTTCAATCAACCCCAGAGGGCCACTGTGAAAGATAAACTCAGTGGTCTTCGATTCGACCGATTCATACACTGCTTTCCATTGAGAACTGTGTCGATTTGGCTGAGAAGTCAAGGTAAGTCAACAAATAATGCGTTTTATGACTACAACGTAACTAACGAATCCTCTTGACACTCAAAAGAGGTAAAATATGGGCTGCTCTTGCGATATTAAAAGCATAATTTATAACAAAACATTTCACACGCAATACTCGAGTGAATTTATTTGAATGGATCCCTTGTACCGATAGGTCTGAATGTATTAATCAACGTCCTCTCTTTCTAACCTGTCGTTAACACACTCCTTTCCCAATTTTTAAGTAATGCGCCCTTTTCTTGGTTTCTACTGGTCGCTTTGGCGCTCATCCGTCGTACAATTACTTCTGAGAATCGTTTTGCATTTATTAACCAATTCTAATGATCCCAGTTTTATTGAACCTCTATGAAAAACGTACGTAGCAAGACGTCACAAAAGAGGATGAATGCTGAGAATACGCAGTGCAGACATAATAGACATGCTAATAGCTAAAATTTGGAATGCGAATTACTGATAGCTTGTTTATGGGCATTCTTGAACTGAACACAATGACCAAAAAATCTCCTTTAGTAGTATAACACGCTTGTGGAGGTTTTTAGACATGAAAATAATGACCCTAGAATTATGGAAATGGATGACACGGAGATAAATGCCTATGAATAATTTCCATCGTTATTGGGAGGACATGTGCATCCAAAGTTTCTTATCAAGCGGGAAATTATTTCATTTGAGAAGGAAATAAGAATAGTCTCATGACTTGGTATTGGTGACCATTTCTTCTCCGCTGTCAGATAAACGCAGACGTTTGTGAGCAAACTGGAGTGTCAGGCCTCACAAAGGCCTGGATTTGAGAGAATTTCAAAGTCGTTAAAGCTCATAAAACGTTGGCATGCGCGATTTACTTCCGCTCTGCGAATAACTAATATGCCGATATCCAATATACTCACACTTGTATTCAACAGCCCTCAGAAGTATTCACATGCATGAGTAATAAAAATATACTGAAGCCTGCGCCCTCCATTTTTCGGGTTATCGTCTACATTCCTGGATGAGTAATTCGGCTCTGTCTTTTCTGAAAATTCTGAATTTCCTGCCAACAGAAGTCTCGAAGAACATCAGAAGTTATATAAATCAGATTTCTGAACATTCCCCTGTTTAGTTAGTAGATTTCAAACCAAAATATGATTATCGAGGCGTTAGTAAGCCCCGTTCCTACATGCACCGCCTATGCGTGTCTGGCGCATGTCTTCCTGTGAATAGCGCCCCAGGAACTGGCAGCCTACTCCGCTCGGCTTGAGCACGTGGAGAGAGAGATGCGATCGATCACGCTCGTCAGGCAGCGCGACATCGATGCGTGCACAAAGCCGAGCTCTAAATGCGAGTGGCGCACGTCGATGGTCTTGACAGAATGTCGCCGCGAAACTGAGTCAAATTCGGCGGCGAACGCAATGCGTGCGTACGTGCGTGCGTGCGTGCGAGGTGGAAACGTGAACCGCATGAGAAGAGATATTCAGTGTATTTTTGTAAGTTGGATCAAAGTTCGGAACATTGAACCCTTCTAACACAATATTTACGCAAAATATAACCAGATACGTTTCACAGAACCAAACACATGAACCGATCTATAATTGAAAAAAAACCACCTAACAGATGTCTTCCTGAATTAGAAGTTAAACTTTTCATTTCATAAACCAAAAATATACTCAGATTAACACGCTGACTTTGTGTCATTAAAATTAATTAAATATTCAGTCTGTTTAATTGGCTGTCGCAGGACATTTCCAAAAGGAAGCAGGGAAGGCCCAAAACAGGTTATCAAAATACGTTGATTGGAGATGCGGTGAATAACGCAAGAGTCAGGCAAAGCTTTTGCCGTGAACTTAAGAATGACGCGATGCTTAACTATGGTTGAATTTTTTGTAAAAGTTGAATGGGTAGTACCTTGTCAGAGGCTGACTACTGCTCTAAAAATAACGACAAATGGTCAGGCTAACTACTATGACTCCGCTGCTAGTTCTCACTAGTGGTTTCAGTGGCTTTGTAGCCGTCAACAACGCACTCACGCACGCACGCACGCATTGCGTTCGCCGCCGAATTTGACTCAGTTTCGCGGCGACATTCTGTCAAGACCATCGACGTGCGCCACTCGCATTTAGAGCTCGGCTTTGTGCACGCATCGATGTCGCGCTGCCTGACGAGCGTGATCGATCGCATCTCTCTCTCCACGTGCTCAAGCCGAGCGGAGTAGGCTGCTAATTCCTGGGGCGCTCTTCACAGGAAGACATGCGCCAGACACGCATAGGCGGTGCATGTAGGAACGGGGCTTATTAACGCCTCGATAATCATATTTTGGGTTGAGACCTATTAACTACACAGGGCAATGTGCAAGCATCTGATTGACGAAACTTCGGATGCTTTTCAAGACCTGCGCTGGGCAGAATATCCAAGTTGGGCAGGCGCTTCGGATATTTTCAGAAAAGACAGAACCGAATTAACCATCGAGGAATGTAGACGATAAACGGCAAATGGAGGGCGCAGGCTTCAGTGTATTTTTCTTACTCATAAATGCGAATTATTCTGAGGGCTGTTGAATACAAGTGTGCTTATAGAACATCGGCATATTAGTTCTTCCCAGAGCGGCACTGAATCACGCATGCCAACTTGTAATAAGCTTTAAAGACTGCGATTCTCTCGCATCCAGGCGTGCCACTCCAGCTTGCTCAACAAGGGATGAGCTAACCAGAGAGCGGAGCAGCAGTGGCCACTAAAAACCTAGTCATGTGATTATTCTCATTTCCGTCTCGAAATAAATAATTTCCCGATTGATGGGAAACATTGGACACGCATATCCTTCCAATAACCGTGCCTTGTATCCCCGTGCCACCTATTTGCGTAGTTCTAGAGTCGTTTTTTCCGTGTCCTTCATAGACGTGATGTACTACTAAAGGGGATTTTGTGGTTATGATTTTCTGTTCAAGTACGCCCACAAGCAACCTTTTAGTATTTCGCATCCCCAATTTTAGCAATGATGATGTTAATTATATCTACGCTGTGTATTCTCAGCATTAGTCCTCTTTGACGGCGTCTTGCTGAGATATTGTCTGATGGTTGTTCAATAAAACTAGGACCATTAGAATTGGTTTAGAAATGCAAAGCGAGTCTCAAGAGTAACTGTACGCCGAATTAGCGCCAAAGTGACCTGTAGAAATCATGAAAAGATTGAATTTGTTAAAAATTAGGAAAGTAGTAGAAAAACAACGGGTAAGAAAGAGAGGACGATGACTAATACATTCACACATATCGGCATAAGGGATCGATTCATGTAAATTCAGTCAACAATTGCATGTG